AGTACCTGGAACTCACTTCCAATGCACTTAGATTTGCAAGTCGGAAACTATAAGCGGTCACAGACGCTTTCTCGATCAAGTTATGCGCTGCTAGTAGTAGGCACATTAATAGCTTTTCTCCAGTTTCCTAGGCGTCTTCCCTTCGCTTTAACTTTGCACTGATGCACGTATAACACGAGTGATACAACTTTGGGGGTTTTTTTGCCGCAGTCCATTCGCATTCTCCCTGGACTTCATCATGATTCACTTTAGCCACCAGTGATAACATCTGACAGTGGTATACCAGGCATGCTTTGTTATAACTTACTTTTGAACATGGTCTCAGCTTTCAATCTTCCGAACTGTTGTTAGAGTGAATTACAACCCTCTCCTCTCAAGAACGGTCTTCCTGTCCTTCCGGAAGCATTAGCTGTGAGTGAGCGCAGCACTCTACCACTCGCTGTGCCACCGAACTCCACTCTATTAAACACCCTCCACTCCGGCGTTGCTTCCTTTTCTATCGCACCCGCAGGCATGGGTACGGCTGTTGTTGAATCCACATCGGTCGGTGGTGAAGGTCAGCAACTCATGCATCAGCAATACTATCAAGACCGTATCCAACGTCTCGAACGCGAACTTGAATCTGTCCGTCGGCAGGCCTCTAGACATGTTGATGTGAGTTTCATAAATGCACCTGTGGGCGTTCTCCTAACCCAGTGCTACCATGATTTGCTCTTATTCTAAATCTGAGACTATCTAAAAACGCAAGTATTTGATATTTTTGCTCATTCCTTAACAAAGTAGGATCTTTTGTAGAATGATCCGTTTTAATGCGGTAGAAATTATGCTTGTCTTGCAGTTAGCGTAGCATTTACTACGTATTGTATCACGCCCTAATGTAAGCCTTTAGTAAGCCACCAGCAAGGGATAACTTGCATCTAGCAGGTCGGATTTGAATAAGGTTTTTTTTATCACGAAACGAAAATTTTTTCGTATCAGTGTACTAGTGGAGATGATAGTAGAGGTGGTAGTTCATTTGATTCTTTTCCTCCTCTACACGTTATAAAAATTGCTGTGAAACTAATAAACTCTTGTAGCCAACTTATTTGCTATCGGCATGTTGCTATTGCCAAATTGGCTTTCCTTTCTATGAATAGTTATTCCCTTGATCAATCATAAAAGGAATGTTAACTGTGATTGCTGCAAAAAGAGCTATCTTGTGTTTCTCTTCTACTACGACATTTCTGAGTTCACTGGCTTTGCGGTTGATCAAATTGCTTTGCATATGACTATCCAGTGCAGGAATACGACGTTTGAGGGCATAACATTTAATCAGCTCTTGTGACACATCCGATCACTTACCTTCAAGACCGCTCTCTCAGAGTCCAGCTATTTGGCTGTTCTGGTTAAAGCCATGAATTTATGATAATGCTTGTTTCACGGCGCCTATTTTTGGGCCACTGAATGAAGCAAGCCTTGTGTAGCGGAAAATGAATTGAGCGTAATCATTTGGTAGCATTTGTCTTCGGTCTGATTCCATGCGGTCAGGGCGCTTTCTTACCTCGTAGTACTGCAATTTTGAAACACCAAGTATAGAGATACGTTAACATTGCTACGCTCGACCTTAGTAACTCAAAGTATATGGTATCTACTGTTTAAAGCAATGCTCATGAATTGGGCTGTACTGCCTTTTCTGCTCCTTTTTTTCATGTTTTTTTTCGCTTGTCATTCATGTTAAGCGATGTTTGACTGCAGCACATCGGCGAAGTGTCTCATGATAATTTCTTTGTATATTGCATAAAGGTTTGCGTATTGCACCTTTATGGTCGTCTGTATATTTAATGTAAAATTTGATCTCAGCACTAGCTCAAACTGGGTCTTACAACAATCACCCGGGGACGAGGGCGTCCTCAGGATTGGTTTTACAAGGCGAGAGCTAGGCATAAAAGGCCTAACGTGTAGTTTTCAATGTATTTTTTGAACCACGCCACGCCGTCTTGGGTCACAACTGTGTGCGTGCTTGTAGCGACCACTAGGCCGTGCGTGTTGGTCGTCTTTATACCTATCGTCTACAATCACATCAAGGGTATCGGCTAATCATAGTCATTGTGGATCTTCAAGTACGAAATTGTTGCAATTTATGGGTCTCTAGAAGTGCACGCTTTGTGTGCGCATTCTCGATAAACTACCGCATGATTTACCCAATTTCTTTTGCAGCATCTCCGAGTTTCACGAGGAAAGCACTTTCCTCGTTTAATACTGCGTTGAGTTGAACGCAATAGTGGAAATTTTGGGTTCGATCATGATGTGAATTTAATTTAGTGTTTTATGAATTAAATTGCTAGGTTTCGGAAAGTTTTTGAGAGGAAGAAAG